CAAGCTGTCCTGGGTAAGGCCTCCTTTTTCATTATCACAACTTTTAAATCCATTTTTAATACTTAAGTGCAGAATTATTTGATCAGAATCAGAATTTATTGCAAGTACATTTACACATACAAGGAATCTGACTTGGTGTATTGGTGCTAAAAATTAACAAGGAAATAAAGCAGAACTAGAAACAACTTAAATAATACAGAATAAGAAGATATTACAATATATAACATAGAATTAAAAAATATAAAGAATAAAAAACAAAAAATGTAGAAAAGGTGCGATGTAGGAGCTGTGCAGTGGACTGTGAGAAATAGATCCATCTGCTGGTTCAAAATGAAGCCTGTAAAGTACGATCAGTAAACACATCAGGGATTGGCTGCTGCTCTGTGTTCACCTTTGTTCTTGCTTCGGCAGGACTTCTGTGACGCCTGGCTGGCGCAGGACACCGACAAAGCTCGCTTCATGGCCCGGATCTTCCGCCACAGCATCGAGGCTTCGCAAAGCGAGCGCTGCGAGAAGAGTTCGTCGCCGGCACAGGTTTCGTCTCCTGCGACTCGTACGCCATGGCCGCCGCCATCGACGACTCATTCGTCTTAGAGAGCGACGAGTATCCGGTCAGCGTGGAGCTGGCAGGCACACACACCAGAGGCATGATGGTAGTGGACACTGTGGGATTCATGAAGAAGAGTCCTAAGAAGGCTTTCATCATGAAGAAGGTGGATATGAAGAAGTTTGAGCAGATGATGATGGCTTCTTTAAAATAACAGCTCGGCAGTTTTCCCTGTTTAGTTATTCTTCTTTTATGGTTCTATGCTTAGAGAATTATTCCTCTATTTGGGTTTTTTATAAACAAGACATCCAAACTAGTAGACACAAACTATCTAGTAGAAAACTCTGGGCCAAAAGACACATTTTATACATCGTAATATAACACACATGAAGGACTCATTACTGTATTTACACACCTCGATTGTTTGATGCTACTATCAAAGTTTTTTTTTAAACTAAAATAAATGTTTTTGATGAAAGCACTTAAATAAATTTACAATAAACTCAAGTTTCTCATCATTTTATTCATTACAAGTGTTGTTTCATGACATCACAACCACATCCTCATTCATCCAGATGAAGCTCCAGCAAGTGAATTTGTGTGTTTTCTTTCTTCCCCTGCTGATGAATTTCTTCTTCTTCTTCTGTGTGTCAGAGTTCACTGTTCTTTAAAAGCTGGTAGTCCTTTTGCTACGTTCTTCAGACAGGGTTGTAAAAGCTGCTCGTGAGTGACCTGCGAGCAATTTGATTTAAACACCATTATAACCGTGTTTGGAATTGTCGATCCAGTAATTCTTCACCCGTGTGGGGGAATTTCGACGGCTCCTCAGTATCCTTTCTTTCCTCTGAATCTTGATCTCGTGTCCAGCTGTTGAAATACAAAACACATCAGTAAGGGACAGCACAGCTTCAAATACTAGTGGAGTTTTTTTGGTTTTGCTTCTGGTCACTGTGAGGGGAAAACACAGCCGTGAGACACATCAGGAAATGGGAAGATAAAATATCCCCCTGTTGCCTTTTCTCTCCCACACTTCTTCTTACGTTCAGCATTGTGCGCTATCTTCTCTGGCTGACTTACCATTGACCTCTGCACTCAAAGAAGGATGTCTGCAGGGCTTTACAATGGCCTTCCTTCAAACACTCACTGGGCAGCTTCCCATCCTGATAAAGTAGGAAGAACAGTAAATATATAAATCATTAGCAACACTTCCTGACAGCAGCCTTACAGCCCTGTCTGAATCTAGGACTTTGTGCAACACTACAATAAATCAAGTGTCTCTTTAGAGAAGTAGTTTCTAACCTCTTTAAAGCTTGTGACCCCACTTTGACTTCAACAAACTCTTGCAACCCCAGACACCCAAAAAACACAAACAGCTTTTTGCTCAAATTCATTTGTTTCCAATCATGTAATAGTTTCTCTGCTGTGTTGCAAGTTAACATTCAGTTTAGACCACATTTAGTCTTTTATGTACTTCTGATGTGGACAGAGGAAGAAAGACTTGGATGATACTTCTGCACAACGGAGGACAGACAGAGACTCTGTAAGGGTCTTGTTCATTCACATGGTTTGTGGGCATTGGCCCACATATAGCCTGTTTCAATACATTTTATATACAATTATGTTGATTGATCAATAAATTCACATTTCAAGCGACCAGGGACCCCAAGGTCGGGAAAGCCTGCTTTAGAGGGAAGAAATACACTGCCAGGCCAAAAAAACTAAAGTCGCCACCGAAAAAACAGATCACACTCTAATATTTCGTTGGACCGCCTTTAGCTTTGATTACGGCACGCATTCGCTGTGGCATTGTTTCGAGAAGCTTCTTAGACTTAGACTTTCTTTATTGTCATTCAAACTTGTACTTTACAGTGCAGATAAGAACAAAATTTTATTGCATTTGGCTCGTTGTAGTGCAGGATAAAAAACAGCAGCAAGTATTACATAGAAAAATAAGGTGCCGATATAAATAGATATAAAAAGAAAAGCTATGAGTAAAATTACTATACAGATAAATATATTGCATGTTATATGTATTTACAGTCCAGTGAGGTAGTCCTGTGTGGGTTTGAGGGGAATGGAGGGATTATTTTTCCTGTTCAAAAGTCTTATGGCCTGTGGGAAGAAGCTGTTACAGAACCTGGAAGTTTTGCTTCGGAGGCTGCGGAACCTCTTTCCAGAGTCCAGCAGCGAAAACAGTCCTTGGTGGGGTGAGAGGAGTCTCTGCTGATTTTCTGAGCCCTGGTCAGACAGCGGATCTTTGCGATCTCCTGGATGGAGGAAGTGGAGTCTTAATGATCTTTTCCGCCGTCCTCACCACTCTCTGCAGGGACTTCCAGTCGGAGGCACTGCAGGCTCCGGACCAGACAGAGAAGCAGTTTGTTATGATGCTCTCTATAGTGCCTCTGTAGAAGGTGGTAAAAGGAGGAGGGCGGTGTGCTCTCTTCATCCGACGGAGAAAGTGCATGCGCTGCTGCGCTTTTTTGCGCTTTTTTCCTGCAGTGTCGCAAGATTTGTTTCCGTCCAGTGTTTCATTCATTTTTCACCAATAAACTGTACTGAGGATTTGGAGAGTCGGTCCACTGCGCAAAGTCTTCTCCAGCAACGTCCCAAAGATTCTACAATGGGGTTAAGGTCTGGACTCTGTGGGGACAATCCATGTGTGAAAATGACGTCTCATGCTCCCTGAACCACTCCACCACAATCTGAGCCCGATGAATCCTGATGGATCATCTTGGATCAGCCCGTGCCATCGGGAAGAAACAAATCCATTGATGGAATAACCTGGTCATTCAGTATATTCAGGTAGTCAGCAGGCACATAATGTTGCTGAACCTGACCAACTGCAGCAACCCCAGATCACAGCTCTGCCCCCCACAGGCTGGTACAGTAGACATGATGGGTGCATCACTTCACCTGCCTCTCTTCTTACTCTGATCACTGTGGAACAGGGTGAATCTTCCTTCCAGTTTTTAATAATGTGTTGGACAGTTCTTAACCCAGTTTTAGTAGTTTCTGAAATCTCCCGAGATGTTTTCTCTGCTTGATGCATGTCAATGATTTGACCCTCACACAGACTTAACATCTTCTCCACGACCACAGGAACACAGAGACTTTCAACATCGTAGTTTAAGAGATGAGAAGCTACTCATTGCATCAGTTTGGGTTAAATAACTTGTTGCCAGCTGAAAGATAATCGCCCATGCAGTTATTATTATCCAATGGGAGGCTCTTACCTATTTGCTCAGTTAAATGCAGGTGTGTATTTGTAGTACATTGATTAAGTTGTAGTCTTTTTAACCTTTTAATAGTTTGCATCTGGTATGTCCCAGGAGGCTACATGATAGCTGCTCACTCCTTGTGCAGTGTCAGATTTTAAAGATGTTTTTAAGGTTTCAGGTGAAGTTTTGTTCTCGACAGGTATCACTATTCTCTAAAACACCTGCTTTTCTTCCGACCTGTCAAGCTAAGGACGTTCACTTACCTTTACCACACAGTCGTGCTGAAGGAGACAGGCCTTGAAGTCCTCCCTGATTCCCGCGCATGCTCTGTTGTCTTCCTCTTTGTCTTCGTAATATTTCGGCATCGTGCGAAATGCTCCGACACGTCCAGTGTTCCCTGAATGCTTACCTTCTCACTGTTCACCTCCACAAGCTAACAGCACTGTTATGAAGACTTTCAGCCATGTTTTGTTTCATATTGCATGATGGGAAGACGGAAGTATCCGGAACAAAGAAGGGCATGCTGGGAGTTGTAGTCTTCCGTGTACATAGCCGGTATACGCTTTAAAAACGGTGTGAACAGATCTACACTGTGGGGAGGGGGAGATCAAAAATGATGTCAAATTGATTTTGAGGCCAGTCTTGAATTATTGTTTACCTTTTTTTACTTTCAAATCAAACCTGTTGATGCAGATGGATGAGTGATTCAAATAGAATGAAATCAAAACACAAATATGGCCATGAGTTCTAACAACTTTTTTTTTTTTTTATCATTTATTTCAAAGATGTCCATGAAAAATGATGTCAAAAACATCAAAGGCAGGCATAAACATATGAATAATGAAGGCACATGAACTGATGGGTGTATGGGGTTGTCTCTCCGATTCACTCTCTGCACATACAGTATATTGAGGGGGGGGGGGGGTCACAAGACCATTCATGCTGTTTTCATGCATTCAGTTACTGTTTGTGTGTGGATGCAGAGCATGAGGGAGAAGCCATTCCTGTAAAAGCAGTGTCTTTCCCCTTTCAAATGTTGAACTTACAGTAAGTTAATGTGACCTGCTCCTATCTTCTCCCGATTTAAAAAAAAAAAAAAAAAAAAAAAAAAAACAATCTGCGGAGGAGACAGAAATCAAGCCACGGCATTTTTTTGCACAGCTCTAGCAGAAGGCTGAGGAGTCTGCTTTGACTTTAAGACATTGTTCATTATTTACAAATTAACTACGCAAATTCTGTCCTGTTTTTATCATTTCCACCAAAAGGCACTTCACTATCCCCCCCCTCCCCCGTAATGAACCACAACAATATAAAAATGAGGTTTCACTTAAAATAGCTTCAACTCAAAACATTTGCCACACACACACAAATAGATAAACATGTCAAGTGGATTTCAATGAACTTTAAAGTGAGGGAGAAGAGAGAGAGTGAGTGAGTGAGTGAGTGAGGGAAGGACAGATAATGCTTGTTGCTTTTTATATATTTACAATCAGTGAAAGTACTACACAACCCTCAGCCAAATCATACAACAAAAAGGCGCACTCTGCAATGATCAGTAGTCAATACTCTGCCCAGATGTTCAAAAAAAAAAAAAAAACGGACATTTGATCGGACAGAAGGAATCGCCGCATGGATTTGGAGTAATCAGTGGAATAAGCATCTTTTATGGGAAAATTTAGCACAATGGTGAAGGATGTAATGGTAACAAAAATGATTGAAAACACAGTGCAAATCACGCGGCTTCAAGTGAGAACACAGAGATATAGTTCCTAAAACCCAATCACTTGGGACTGTGTGTGCGTGTTAAAAAGTAAAAATAGCATTTCCAGCAATCAAAAGTGTAGGGACAACATGAATGGGAACAGATTGGATTATTGGTTGCTGAGACTATTTTTGCAAGGGACATGGGTGTAAGGCACATTATTTTAAAATTTCGAATTTAAAAGACTTCTTCAATAGAATCTATTCACACCTCCTACCATTCAGTATTTTGTTAGCAGTGAAATTAATCGTTTTTTAGTTGAAACGTAACACTTCAAGTGAAAAGAGAAACAGGCACAGCTACTTGCACCAACAGACAAGTAGCTGTAATAATGTGAAAAAAAAAAAGGTACAATAGAAATCCAGAAAGAAAACATAACACAAATGCAAAAAAAAACCCAAAAACCAACTCCCAACCGACATAAACATCTCTTCATAGAATAAAAATATATTTTTACCTCTTGTACAAATTAAAGATTTATTTCAAATAAATTAAGTCACCTTCATAGATCGTCGTAGCTGTAATAATATATCAATATAACAATATATTCCTCCGGGAAAATGACGCCAAGGCAATGTCTGATTGGTTTACTATAAATGGACACTGAGGTCATACACGACCTGTCAGACAGGAGGTGAAATAGATAAGGTGTTATGGTTTTCATTTCTTGATGGATTGGGGTAGTTGCCACTGAATCTGGCCTATTGGTCGACGTTGTTACTGACTGGCTCATCCTGAGGTTTTTTCCGTTTAGTTTTTCCAGGAGAAGAGGAGTATTTGAGTGGGACTGACAAATCTCTGGAAGTGATGGAAAAAAAAAACAAAAAAACATTTGTTTTGTTTGGGCTGGTGTTGATCGAGAGCTCCCGTCACCTCTCTGCTGCGGAGAACAGAGAGAGCGACCGGCCATTAGTGATGACAACATTCTTGGTCATCACACGGGCTGAGCTGAGGCGCTAGTGACAGTGCAATGCCCCAGCTCACCCAGAGGTGGCAGCATTGAGTAACAGAGAAAAGATTTGGCAGCATGTAAACCAGTGGCCAGGTGACTGGTTCTTCCCCACGTGTGATGATTTTGTCTTCATTCATCCCAGACGTTTTTTTTTGTTGTTGTTGTTTTTTTCTGATTGTGTTCAAAGCTGCTGAGTAAAACAGTCACTTTGAGAGCCAGAGCTGGGAACAGACGTCTTCACATACTTCATCGTTGTTTGTTAGACAGTAGTTTTCACATTCTCACTAAAAATGAATTAAGAGCACAAGAGTGAGGGAGAGATGCAGAGAGAAAGTCAATGGATGGGAAGCAAAATAAAGTACATTATGAAGAGCTGGGGGGGGGGGGGGGGGGGGGGGCAGAGAGGTGGCGTTCCTCAGATAAGCTCAGAAGAGCTACTCTAATGATTTCACTGCTGGTTTCGGGGGTGCCAGAGGCCCCCCGCCCGCCTAGGCAGTCCAGGAGATTTTAGTCCCCCCTAGGGGCTATCATTCATGCGCCCCAGTCTGGAAGAATCAGCCAGCTATCCTCTTTATATGTATCTGCAGGAGGAGAGCAGAGCATCATTTGTTAAACAAAAAAAAAACATACAAGGCAGCTTGAGGCATTTGGAAACATTGTTGTTGTTTTTTTTTTTAAATCATGTGATTGGACAGGACATAAACAGTGTAGCGTGAAATTGGCTTACTTCACTGAGGATCGCCCACACAGCCGAGTCTTTCAGAACTGAAAGTCGAAGTGCAAGGACGGGATTGAAAGACGGATCCACAGCGCCTTCTGACACACCTTTCACAAACTGACCTGTGGAGGTTTGTGAAAAACAAAAGGTCTGTGTGAAGTGAGATTAATCACGTTTGTAGAGAGGTGGTGGCTGCTAATACGTGACCAATGCTCAAGTTAGAGATAGAGAAATGCGAGTTGGTCACACTAAGTTTTTGATGTTTTTCCCAAAAGCTTATCTAAAGTCAGTAAAAGTTTAAATATAGGAATAAGAGGAAAAAGAACTGCAGGAAGAGCAGAAAACTTAAGATGAACAGTGGTGTAAAAAAAGAAAGAAAAAAAAAGGCTGTGACAGAGAACATTTCACACACGTTTGTACACAGTCTTTCACTGCAGGCACAAACAGTGAGTGTGTAATGTGATCACGATGCTTCAGTGTGCTTGCATGCTCTTACACACTTTAAGCACAAGGAGACTGATCCACTCACCGATCCTGTAAAAGCGGTCTTCAGTTCGCTTGTACTTTTCTTTGGTCTGCATTCCAGTTTCCTAAGAAGTAAAAACAAAAAAATAGAGAACGATGGACAGTTTTGTTCAATATGAACTACAAATGTTATAGATTTCTCATTTTCTACAGCACTTGAACGCCACGCTAGCAGCTGGTTGGTGATCACAGTGTCAAGAATGCATCGCCTCTGGCACTGCAACGATTCTGTCACACTTACATTCCTGTCAATAATCAATATGCTATGTCCCTGAGAGCAACGGCTCAATGTAATCTAATCAAAACCGTTTGCACACCATACCACAGAATGGGGACAGACTGTGGTTGGGGGTGGGGGTGGGGGTGGGGGATTTATGTGTGTGTGTGTGTGTGTGTTGGGGAGGTGTTTCTTTACCGAAACAGGCAGTATTTCCACTGTGGTGTTCTCGATCTTGTCCCCTGGGTGCTCCTGGTTACCGCTGCGAAACAGGAACCTGCCAATCAAATCGAGCATTCATTAGAATATATACAACCATGGCATAGGCAATGCTTGCACTCTTCCCCTGCCACATTCTCACACAACATAAAGTCACCTTTGGAAATGTGCTGGAGTAGGTAACAAACATAGCATGTTGTCATCAGGGTTTAATATTTAGCAGGAGAGAGATGATTAACTTCTCATGTAAAACTTTTCAGAAATAAAACTGAATTCAAAAGGACATCGTTTGTTTTTAACTTATGCTTAAGCGGAATTTATTTTCCCCAGCTACACGTAGGGGAAATCTAGTTTTCTTAACCAAAGCTACTTCAAAAAAGTAAATTAATAATCACATTCACAATGCACAAATTAGAAAACTAAAAAAGTCACTTGCATGAAAATTCAAGGTTGGCAAGATTCCAAGAAAAATACAGAGATCAATTGATTTTTTATTTTTATGTTTCGCCCCCAGAGAGCAGGCGACCCAGCCAGTGACACATCAGAGTGTGCTGTGTATCTCTTAACCAACTGCTCATGAGATGTTGTCTAATCAGCGAGGCTAAAGAGGCCGAGCCAACACAATTGGCATCACTCAAAAGCAGACAAAACACTTCAGAGTCAGACAGGGGGAACGTCGATGGCTCCCGTCCAACTCACTGCCACTTCACTGAAAAATGACCTGCAGCCTCGCAAGTGTGCCATCCTGTCTAATACGATCCTTACCACTACAGAATGAACCTGGGAAGGACCAAATGTGCAAAACTACAAACGATTATCTCAGCGCATAAAAGGAAACAATTTCTCAAATTTGGTCACAATTTCTTTTTTAATCTGCGTTATTAATGGCATGGTTATTACACAGGTGTGTATTGGGCTTGTCAAAATGAAACGATAGCATTTAAAGGCTTGATGAGATTTTTTGACCCAGCAGATGTCGCCCTTGAGCACCAGCATGAAACCAAAACAACTCGCGGTGCATTGTTGTGTTAGCATGCTAATGCTAGCGATCTTTATTATGCTGGTATCTTCACACTGCATGTAAATTTACCTGAAATGAGCGTGATCTAGAAACACAGTTAAGCAGTGAGTACAGTATGTTATTCTTCTTTTCTCTAGTCCCTCAATTAAACAACTTTTATACACGAGGGGAGGAGTCAGCCGGCCGTCCCGGCGATGTAAACAAAGTGAAGATAGGACTCTGAAAACTCTGAAAACATCACAGACAGTGGGACTCGGGTGTTACACCCATTGTAGACAGTCATGACTCACAGAGTTATTTTCAGAGGACATACTTGATTTCTACATTTAAGTGTGAAAAATCACATTTAAAGCCTTTAATGTTTATTTATCAAACGAGACAATGCCACAGATTGAGCATGTAGAACATGTAACAGACATGTTGACTAAAGGAAACGTGTAGGATTCTCTTACTCCTGACTAGAATGTAAATTTCTCTACCACGTTGCTTTTTAAAAAAAATTTGGCAGTACGCCCAACCTGCCTCACAATAACCCAACATCATGTGCGATTAAACTAGCCAGTAGTAGCCAGCAATCACCAAATCCAGAGTGTTACGTTTGTATATTTTTTCATTACATTTAACATCCTTTTTCAGGTCTGCTTTGATCCGGGCCGTCCGTCTCCCCCATCACATCTCTTTATATTCACTGCCTTGCCCTTTCTCTCCCCTGGTGTCCACAGAGAGAAAGGGCTGGGCTACGAATGCTTATTTTAGAGCACTCTCATTAACTCACCCTGATCCCTGAAGACACACACACACACACACACACACACACACACACACACACACACACACACACACACACACACACACACACACACACACACACACACACACACACACACACACACACACACACACAACACACACACACACACACACACACACACACACACACACACACACACACACACACACACACACCACACACACACACACACACACACACACACACACACACACACACACACACACACACACACACACACACACACACACACACACACACACACACACACACACACACACACACCACCTCATTTGAATGTAGGTGAAGAGAAACCGTTCACAAAGCAGTTACAGCTCTCAACACTTACCTGTCTATGCTAACAGGTCTGTCAAATTTGAAGAGGACGTAGTCTCCTGCAGTCGGCGTGATGGCCCAGAAAAAGTCCTCTCCAAGGTACGTCTTTTCCAGCGTGTGACCCTGATACACCTGCGTGACACAAAAACACGTTTGGTGACTTGATTTTGAAGTTGTCGTATAAAAACATACGCTTTTGGACTAAAGATGACTTCACAGTCAAGAGACAGAGATTTAACATCTTGTAATAAACTCTGACACGTTACCTTCATTGAAGTGGAAACCTCAGCTGGGGGATTCACATGCATCTTGTGTAGCAGAGGCTTCAGGAAGTCCTTGTCCTACACACACACACACACACACACACACACACACACACACACACACAGAGGAGGGGCACATTTTTCTACACAGGAAATTGACCTATTGTTGTAAAGAAATGACTGTCAGGGAGTTGAGACTTACTGTGAGTTTTTGGATTTTCCCAGCAAGAGAAGAATGGAGTCCCACATGCTGAAACAGGGAGGGCCTGAACCGCACGCGTAGGCTGGACTTCTGCCGCTCACAGTGTTTCTTTAAAAAATAAAAATAAAAGTTGCTAATGAGATCACTTCCCCTTACATTGAGGTTTCATACTGCATCAACAGAGTGATTGCATCACATACAGCATCTTTCTCGGGATTGCAGACTTTGACCCAGAGGATGTGGTCCAGCAGCCAGTCGATGGGTTTCTCTTTGTAGAACATGAAGATGAACTCAACGATGAGGTTCAGGTCTGGAGCCTGGAACATCTTTCCTGAAGGACAGAGGAGAGAAGAGGGGTTACCAATCATCCCTTTAGCCGGAAGAGAAGCATTCAGCATCAATATCAACTTATTATTTGCTACAAGATGTATAAGAAATCTAACTTAACAGAACAAGGAACAAAATGTAACATTTGAAATCTGTAGTATCATTTGAATTTGCTTCTGCCTGTCAAATCATTTTGCCTTTTCAAAATGTTTGGGAGGCTCAATGAGAGCACCTTTACAAGTTACAAATGACTAAACAGTAGAAGAAGAAGAAGAGAAGAGCTACCCATGTCAGAAATAGAGTTTGGTTAGCTAAAGCTATTGAGAGAAAGTATTTTAAACTTCTTCTGTAGAATTATAATCATATTCTTAATGCACAGAATAAAATACAGTCAAGTGCCAGAAAATAAGGCAATTTAGCATAAACCCTACAAATGTCATGCAAAGTTGGTTTAAACGTTCCCCAAATTGAAAAGTTAGACCAATTTCTAGATTTTCTACCAGCTGACTGTGCAGATCTTCCTTCATCTGTCAGACCCCCTGATGGATTTAGAGAAATGAATTTGTAATCCTACCGATGAAGCCCAACTGAGAGAACTCGAGGATCATCCAATCCTCCGACGACAGCTGCAGGGCAAAATTCTTCATGGTGGCAAAGTAGTTCGGTTTTGCCACGATGTCGTCCTCCAGCTGAAGGAACAGAAGCGTAAAAAAAAAAGAATGAGATGCGAGTCGGAAGGAAGGAAGTTAGGGTTTATTGTAGATCAAGGGGAGACTCCTCTATGTTGACACGAAGAAGAAAAAAACACGTTCAGATCTTAGGTGGGAAGCTTCTGAGCTGCTGAACTAAACTAGAGTAGTGGAGTAGGTGTCAGACAGGAAATACCTCCTTCCTCCAGCTGAGAGCAGAGAATGGAAATCATACAACACGTGCATAAGACAGACAGAAGGGAGAATAACAACACAGTTAAACTAAACCATGAACTAAACAACTTAAGTGTGCTGAGAGTAAACATTTATATCAATATAAATTTATTTAAAAAAAATCAACAAATCACGATGGAATCATTACGCTTCATTAAGCATGATAGAAAAAAAAAACAAAAAAAAACACCTGGACATGCCAACACTCAACGTTATAATAATAAACTCTGCACCTTCAGAGTAAACATTTATACCAACTCAAACGTGATGTCAACACTGAGGCTACTGTAAAGAGGGGGGGCAACAGAGAATTCACCTTGTAAGGAAACTGAACTCTTTCTCAGTCGGTCCTGTAACATCAGTCTTTTATTCAGAGTCTCTTTTTGTTTTTCTTTTATCTGTTGGTTCCATGAGCTCTCAGTTAAAGACAGAAATAGTCTAACAGGAATTGTTAAAAATCAGTTCTAAGATAATCGGCGTGGAACAGAGATTTAAACTCTTGTTGTAACCAGCAGATCCTCAGAAAGGCTGAGAGGATTTTAGCCTCTTCTGGTCCACGCACTCTTGTTCTAGTGAATTTTGTCTGCTGCCATCACGTCGCCGCTGTGTTTTAACCTGCCTGTAAAACTCATCCCCTCTGCGATTAGATTACTGAATGCTCCGATTTTATCTTTTGGCGCCACATATCTTTTTTTTGACTGATCACTCTCTAGTGTGTTTTCATTTCGTCTTCAGTCTGGCTGACTTTTAATCAGTCTGTCCAATATCAGTGTCTCCTTTATCTATGTTTTAACTCCTTGTGTAGGCTAATCCGTTGCTTGTACGCCAACTTGTCTTTGTTTGTGTTTCTTGGTCATGTGTACGAGCTGCTCCACACCAATTGAAGTTGTTTGAATTTGAATCAACATTCCCAAATTGAACACCTATTTTGGCCAAGAAGACAGAGACGAGCTGCAGAAGTCTAAGAGGATCAGGGTTAAGAATAAGTGAAACTGGTCTAAAAACAACAACTGGCTCTGATGAACAACTGCAACAACACGAACATCTGCTTTGAGGACCGGCCATGTTTTAATTTGCTGTACATGTAAGCTTAACATTAACCTTCTTGATGTGCAGTACAACAGTTTTTCTTTCAGTTTTTAAGAACATTTTTGGAGCACATACCTGGACATAATAAACCCCTTTGCTCACAGCATACATCATGAGGAAGGAGTAATCCAGATTCTGCTTGGTTCGCCATCTAAACAAAGAAGAAATCATCACCACACATGAAAAAGGGAATCAATCTTTTTTTTTTTTTTACCTGAAGGTATCCTTTTGGGTATTTCACCTTGGAAAAGCCAGTCGGACACACTTCTTGACATGCAAAAAAACGAAATTGTGCAAATCAGGTACTCCCAGGTATACTGAGTGTTACAGCAGCAGGCTCTTCTTGAATTATTTATAAAGGCAGCGCTGTCACTAATTGTTTCATCTGAATGATCTGCCCTTGTTGCCGTGTGACTCGGGGGCCGCAGGTGTTCGTGGTGCTTCTGGCAGGTGTTGGGACTACACTCGCACACACATGCACACGCACGCACGCGCGCACACACACACACACACAGACACACACACACACACACACACACACACTCACACTAAGACAAACACTCTACACTATTTTTAACATTCAGGTGAACAGACTCCAGAGATGTGAAGGCATGGACGCACTAAAACTCAGCCAGGTGGTTTGCTAAAGCTTGAGCCTTTTAATTTACCTCTCACTGGGACATGCACGCACACACACACACAACACACCACACACACACACACCACACCACAAGACTTTAGTTGCCATTAGAAGCATCTGTGCTCACAACACACACATGCACCTCAAGGCCTTCAGCTTTTTTTTAAAAGATGACATACTGTAAGGAGTCGTCTAAACTGCATCATAAAACAGATTTCTAATGAAGCCAGTGTTAGCTGACTATAAAGAACGAGATAAGTACAGAGGAGCATTACAAAGAAGAGAAGATAGAGAGGTTGCTGCTGCTGATGATGACCTTGATCTGACTTTGAGAAAATGCCTGTGGAATACTAAGTACCCAGGCAGCCTACCTAAAAGCTCTCTCTCTCTCTCTCTCTCCTCTCTCTCTC